ATACATCGGGTTCCTTATTTCTCCCCAGGTGCATCACCCTACACTTGCCTTTATTGAAATACATCAGGTTTCTCTCTGCCCAACTCTCCAGCGAGGAGGGTGGGGTGTCTGGGCTATGAAGAGAATTGCAAAACCTCTTCTTTGAGACTTTTTTTTTTTTTTTTAACCTCGTGTCTAGGAAGAAACCACTGACGGGGCCGAGCCTGTTGTCTGCAGGGTGGAATAGTGCATTTTAAGGTGGGATGCAAGGGAGAAAAAAAGTATTTCTTTCCTGAGGCAGGTGATTTGTCTGGAGACCTGAGGGGCTTTCAGGCATCCCAGACCTGATGAAGAGATTGCACGCCCTGCCAGCCCGCTTTTTTTTTTTTTTTGTAGCTAAAATAGTTGATTTTGCAAGATGCAGATTCCCTTTTCTCCGCAGATAAATTATGGTAGATTGTGGCGGGTTTTCGTTGTGTAATATTGCAGAAGTTCAAAGTTCACATGAACTCAAAACCTGACCGTCCGCAGATAAATTATGGTGAATTGTGGCGGGTTTTCGTTGCGTAATATTGCGGAAGTTCAAAGTTCACATGAACTCGAAACCTGACCAGACCATTTATTGAAAGAAATAGCTGTCAGGCGCTGTGAAATTGCAAAGACAGTCTTTTTTTTTTTTTTTGTAGCTAAAATAGTTGATTTTGCAAGATGCAGATTCCCTTTTCTCCGCAGATAAATTATGGTAGATTGTGGCGGGTTTTCGTTGTGTAATATTGCAGAAGTTCAAAGTTCACATGAACTCAAAACCTGACCGGACCATTTATTGAAAGAAATAGCTGTCAGGCGCTGTGAAATTGCAAAGACAGTACTTTGGGCTTGGAAATCCCTTGCTTGCAGATCCCTGGAGGCAGGGAGAGTCCCGCGGAAGTTTCCCCATAGCCATGCCCCATTGACCTACTCTTTCCTGGGGTTCAGATATAATTCCCTTGGGATGGCAGCCTGGGATCAGACGGTGTTCAGCCAGACCTGGCACCCACCATAAGACAAGAATGGATAATATATTCTTTGATCATCCCTGCCATGATAAAGCTCCTTGAGGGCACATGACTCCATGGACTCTGGAGCAGCCTGGGGGCAAATCCAGACTCATGGAATCACGGAATTGTCAGAGTTGGAAGGGACCTCTGGAGATCATCTGGTCCAACTCCCCTGCCAAAGCAGGAACACCTAGAGCACATTACCCAGGACTGCATCCAGGCAGGTCTTGAAGATCTCCAGAGAATTGGACTCCTCGCCCAAGCGAGAGCCTCGGCACAGGCAGGACGTGTCCATCTGTCCCACCGGTTCCCACCAGCTCCAGGCTTGGCCAGCAGCTCCCTCAGTGTCAGCTCAGGTGAATGTGGGCTGCGGGAGCGCTGCCATCCGAAGGTGGGGGAGGTCTCCGGCTCCCAATTTTAGGGTTTTATGTAACATCCAGCTTATATAAGCTTTTGTCTGTTCACAAAATGGGTGGAGCGTGTCTTGCTTAGGCTCCTCGCTGAAGAAACGCTCGTTACTTAACCCTTACTCAAGTGCTCGTTGCATACTTGAAGAATATTTCAGCTAGTTCCTTTCCTGTTGCTATTAATAACCTAGCGACTTGACAACCTGTTATGGACAAATGATTAAAACGTGTAATTCACCATTTAATGAAGCGCATCTTGGAATACATTAGACACAGAGCTGTTGAGGCAGCTGAGGGGAAAAACGAGGTGTACCCCAAACCCCAGCCCCGGGTTGTGTCTTGCTTTCTTCTTGCTCCCTCCTGGCAGGGGACAGCTTGAGGGTGCTGGTAGGGAAGGGAGGATGGTTTGGCCCTGCCAGGATGCCTTGGGTACCCAGTGTTGGTAGCAAAACCCTCATCTTCAGCCCAGCCAGGGTTGCACCCACCATCTGTTCCCAGGAGGAGGAAAAGGGGAGCATCCCTGAGCACCCTGTGCGCCGGTGTCCCCATCCCAAAGCTGCTTTGGAGCCCAGGGAGGTCACACTGGTCTCTGTGGTTAATTAAATACCTTTCCAGGTGTTGGCTTCAGTTCTCCAGGCAGGTCAAGGTGGATCGTACCCCGCTGTGTGGGAATGGCATGGCTTTAGAAGCTGCCAGGTGCCCAGGTCCTGCGGCAGAGAGGACCATGGAAATTGTTCTCAGATGGACTTGTGGAGCTCGCTCAAACCTTGGTGTTGACGCTACTTGTGGGGCTTTAAATAGAAAGACAGTACGTGTCTCAGCTTAACTCCATACGGAGACGGTCTGCACTCTCTCCTTCCTCCACATACTCTGCTTCATATACTGACGTGCTTGGCATTCCTTTAAGTTTTGTGAATTGCTGCCAAAAAAACCACTCTTATTTATTTATTTTCTCCCTCCTCTTCATTCCATTAAAGCTGTGCCTTGCCCCACAGCCCCTTTCCCCCGGGGTGGCTGCGTGGGGTGGCAGCCACACGGTGGCATCCAGGTATCTGCGAGATGATGTGCCAGGGAGCAAAGGGCTGGGAGGGGTTGGGGCTGGGCTTTTTCCTGCTCAAAAACGAGCCTTCAATACAAGAAACCCTGTATTATTTTAGCTCTGAGGCCCCTTTCTGTCCCCCGAGGCTCTTAAGAGGTGACACAGATCGCAGACGCGCCGCTGCGAGGAACATCGAGCTAGAAGTGGTGTCTCATGTTTTATTCCACTCATATATTATTTTAATATTTTTTTTTTTAGCTTTTCATTTACCAATTTAATTCACCCCTCCTCGAGAGGATGAAAAAAAAACCAAAAAAACCCAAACCCAACTAAAACCCAAACAGCGAGAGCTTTGTTTTTGTTTCCATGGGAATTCTGCGAGAGGGGGAAGAGTGTGAAAGAAAACTGAAATATTCTGGGCAAATCCAGGAAGGTTTGGCTCCTGAGCAGCCTCCGGGTTGTCTCGTAGCAACTGAAGTCCAGGGGTCCTGCCATTCTCCTGGCCCTGCAGGTGGGGAGGACTGGGATGGGGCTGCTGCTGTGTCACGGGGAGCATTACTGTGCTGTGGAGCTGCGCCAGAAAAAGCTCTTTGGGTGGGAGAAGATCTGACTACAACTCCCAGGAGGCACCGTGGCCGAGTCAGGCCAGTTATGTTTAAGTGCCTGTCTTCAAAACTTCCTCCCCGGCCTCTTCCTCCAAAGTCAAGAGGACAATTGCGGTCCTTGAAAGGGGAAGGAAAAAATATAATAAGCACTTGATGTGATTTCCGCAAACTCTCCTCCCCTCCCCTTTTCCTTTTGGAAGACTGGTCTTATGGGACAAAAGAAAAATCTTTTTTTTGTGCAATTAAGTGGCTTAATGCCAGTTGGCCCACGTTAAGTATGTGATTTCCGCAAACTCTCCTCCCCTCCCTTTTTCCTTTTGGAAGACTGGTCTTATGGGTCAAAACAAGAAAAATCTTTTTTTTTTTTTGTGCAATTATGTGGCTTAATGCCAGTTGGCCCATGTTAAGCGGTCTCTGGGCTGCTCCATCAGCAGTGGCTGCCCTGCTGTGAACCCCATGGGGTTCTCTTGGGGTGACTGATGCACATGTCCGTGGGGCTCCATCCACCCACCGTGTGGGTGTCAGGGTGGTCTCGGCAGTCGTTCTGCCCTATCCCTCTGTGCACCTCGTGGGAGCACCTTCAGGCTCTCTCTTGTTGCACTGCTCCAGAACGGCCGCAGCAGAACACGTTTCCAGTTCCTAATGAGGTGACACTCATTAGGTGACACCCCCACAGGGGATAGCCCCATCCCTGGAGGGGTTCAAGGCCAGGTTGGATGGGGCTTGGAGCAACCTGGTCTGGTGGGAGGTGTCCCTGCCCAGGGCAGGGGGTGGGAACTGGATGATCTTTAAGGTCCCTTCCAACCCAAACCATTCTATGATTCCATGATTCTATAGAGGCACCAGGCTGGGGAATAGCCTGTGTGGCCATGCTCGTTTAACAACAGCAAAGCAACCTGGTGAGAAAAACTCTATAAGAAACCCCCTGTATTTAGATGATGTCTGTGTTCAGTACATCAGACGGCTCCTGGCCACGGCTCCACTGGCACCACTGTGGGCTCTCCTGAGCTCCAGCCCTTGGGCAAAACTGCCTTTTGCCGTAGGGTGAAAGGGGGGAGTGCTCTTCTGGATGGAAGAACATGATTTGAGATGTTTGGAGAAGTTGATGGCTTCTTTGTGCTGTCGCGTGCTTGTTTTCTGAGGCCATAGTTTGGCATTTGTATCGTGCCCAGCAGCCGCTGTCCCTCTGCTTCACCCCTCTCCCCCTGTTTGTGTTCGTGATGCCAAGAGGTGACCAAGATTGAGGATAATGTCCTTATTTTTTTTTTTTTTAAAAGAGCCTTTTTATTTTTTCCTGGGTTATCTTTCAGCTGTTGGATTGGGTTTGGTGTGCAGCAGCAAAGGCTCTTAGTCCTCAGGAAGCCCACCTGCAGCTGCCTCTATATGCCTCATGTATCCCCAATTTTAGTCAGCTCATTAGATGTGACAATGAACCATTTCAAAGAAAAAACATGAATGAAGTACAACTAAAAAAAAAAAAAAAAAAAAAAAATTCCTTATTGGGAATCCCTTTCCTGATTGGGAAGCCCCCTACTTGAGGTTCTTCAGCCTGGAGAAGAGAAGGCTCTGGGGAGACCTTATTGCAGCCTTTCAGTATTTAAAGGGGGCCTGCAGGGAAGATGGGGACAGACTTTTTAGCAGGGGCTGTTGAGACAGGACAAGGGGTAATGGCTTTAAACTAAAAGAGGGAAGATTTAGACTAGGTATAAGGATGGAATTCTTCACTGTGAGGGTGGTGAGACACTGGTCCAGGTTGCTCAGAGAGGTGGGAGATGCCTCATCCCTGGAACCATTCCAGGTCAGGTTGGATGGGGCTCTGACCAACCTGATGTAGTTGAAGATGTCCCTGCTCATTGCTGGGGAGGTTGGACTGGATGACTTTTAAAGGTCCCTTCCAACCAACTCTTCTGTGATTCACACCTTGGTTTTACAGATGGCAGAGGCATCGATGGATCCCTGTGTGGCTGCCACAAAGTACGCTCTCTGCACCAGCATCTCGTGTTAAATAAGAAAACTCCACAACCCCTGTGACAGCATAAGTGTCCTTGGAAGCTCCTAAAGGTCAAAAAGCAGGTGGGAACAGAGAAGCAAAGAAACCTCGACAGACACTACTGTGTTTCTTCAGAGCTGGAGATATTTTTTGAAGGTATGTGCCAAGTATCCACTTCTTGAATCGCCTCTGGGACAGGGGAAGGTTATGGGAAGTGCAGCAAATCACTAATGGACACAGGCACAATGGTATTTCTCCTGGAAGAGATAACTGTGGGTGGAGAACCTGCTCTCTTGTGGGGTTTGGGAGAAGGGAACTGTGCGACACAGAGGCCAAAATGCTCATTGAGTGTCTGCTCTCTTCTGCTGGTGGTCTGGCCCTGCTCACAGCCATTTCCAAAATAAACCTAGCAACAGAGAAATTAAATATGCATTAACTAAGATAAGGTTTATGGATTTGTAAAGATTTGCCAGAATTCAGCCAGGCGGTTGCATCGCCCGTGAGGGCTGAAATGAGCACGAGGCAGGGGGTCTGTCTGTGGAGAGAGAAGTTCTACTCTGTGTCTGAGATGGTGGAGGTCCTCTGCTGGCCTCCTGCCTGAGGAAGCTGTGGCCTTAGCAGTGGTGGGGCTGGAAGGATGGCAGAGATCATAGAATGGTTCAGGTTGGAAGGGACCTCAAAGACCATCTAGTTCCAACCTCCCTGCCCTGGGCAGGGACACCTCCCACCAGACCAGGTTGCTCAAGACCCCATCCAGCCTGGTCTTGAACCCCTCCAGGGATGGGGCAGCCACAGCTTCTCTGGGAATTCTGTTGCAGTGTCTCACCACCCTCACAGGAAAGAATTTCTTCCCAATATCTAATCTAAATCTCCCCTCTTTCAGTTTAAAACCACTACCTCTCATCCTGTCACTCCACTCCCTGATAGTCCCTCCTGGAGTTCTCTCCTGTAGCCCCTTTAGGGACTGGAAGGGGGCTATAAGTTCTCCCCGGAGCCTTCTCTTCTCCGGGCTGAACAGCCCCAACAGATGGGTGCCCTGAAGGATGCCCCACGTGCCTCCTGTCCACCAACTCCCACCCCATGTGCTGGCGTCAGCATGAAGCCTCTCTGCAGCGTGGGGTAACGTGTCCCTCTGGAGCGTGGCTTTGTGGGCTCTTTGGGGTGGAAAGGCGATGCCGGTGATACAGGGTGACTTTCCATACTTCCCGTTGCCCCTGTTCTTGGTGGCAGAGCTCCACCACACTTTCCTCTGGTGACACGGAGGGTTAGAAATGCCTGTGCTGTGTCTTTTCCCTCGCTCGGTAGAGACAGCACCGGTGAGCCAGCCTGACTCACAGCTCCCCACCGGTGCTGAGCCTGGCACTCTTTGGAGGTCAACGCCATGAGTAGAAGGAAGCCGTGTTGCAACGCTGTTGGGAACCCACCTTAGATTTCCAAGCTTGATTTTAAACACGGAGCACAATCACTCATGCTGCTTTAAGCCACTGGTCATGGCAAACCCAGCATGAAGGAGCTACGGCGATGTCCTGCAGGTGGGCCCATGGATGGGCAAAGCAGGTACCCTTCTGGTGGAGAACGTGGAGATGCTTCAATATTGCACTGCCAGAGCAGGGATAGAGCCCATCTCTGCATTAGCAGTGACCAAAGCTGGGTTATTTATCTCTTGTAGACTTAAGGACCACATTTCATAGAATCATAGAATGGTTAGAGTTGGAAGGGACCTTAAAGATCATCTAGTTCCAACCTAGATGGAACTAGATGCCATGGGCAGGGACACCTCTGCTAGAGCAGGTTGCTACCTGTTCAGTTCCTCACTATATAAAGAAATAAAAATAAAAATAAAGGACAAAAAAATCTAACAACCAGATTGAAATCTCGCTGTAGAGACTGAACACTGAATTCCCTGGCAAAAGTCACCAAGATGTCCCCTGTACGGCCGCGGCGGTGGAAGCTGTAGGACTGCAGGCAGGTTCCAGGCATTTTACCAGCACACCAGGACACAAGGGTGTGTTACAGCCATTTAACTTATGGAGGATTTTTGCTTCTCCACTTGTCAGCCCAACACTTCCAGAAGCATGTTTTTTTTTTTTTTTCTCCCCCTCTCGCTAAAAAATCTGCTTCTTTGCATATTAAAAAAGGCCGTATGGGAAATAACATGAAAAATGCAGACAAGTACCGCTCAGACACAAACAGTACGTGCCTATAATTATTAGGTTGTCTTACGCTAAAAATAACGTTGTGTGTGGCCTTAATTCATTGTTAATTTGCACTGATTTTTTTTTTTCCCTGCTTGTCGTGTCCCCCAGAAGGAATTTCTTGGCAGCAGTGGGGGAAAACTGGCTTCTCCCTGCTGAAAGTAATTGGGATGGTGTGAGTAAAGGACAAAAAGGGGACAAAAAGGGAACAAAAAGTACAAAAATTGGGCTCCCAGGGAAAGCTGCCTTTGCGTGAGAGCAGAGTAAGCCCCTTGGAGTCCATGCACTGGCAGAGCTGGGAAGTTGAAATAATAATAATAAGAAGAAGAAAAAAAAAAGCTGACTTTCTCCTCAGCGTTAATGGATCGTTTCTCAGCTTTTTGGGGTTTTTTGGGTTTTTTTTCTCCCTTCTCTAATAAGAAGCGCCCACCATCCAAGCACCCTGCCCTCTCCCTCCACCCTTCCTCTCCTTAACTGGCGGGGAGTGGTTTCTCCTTAATTAGCAAGTGCTCATAGGCTGGAGCGCCCTGTGGGCTGGCTTGGGCTTCGTTTTGCCTGGGTTTTTCTTTTTTTTTTCTTTCTGGTTTGACGGGGCGGGGAAGTGAAGTGGGGGGACGGACAGAGCGAAGCCCTGGATGCTGGAAGCGGGGCCGGGCTGCGGGGCGGCTCCTCGGCGGTGCGGGATTGATTTGCGGGATCGCCGCTCACCTTCCGGGGAAGGAAAAAATCAAACCGCCTTGGCTGGGTTGTTAAGAGCACCATGGGGCACCCGCTTCCACCGGGGCAGGAGGTTGGTAAAGGAAAAATCCCCATTTCCCGGGTGATTTGCGGGAGTGGGGTCTTGGGGGGAGGTTGGGGCGCTCCCCGCGCTGCCCCGGGTCGGGTTTGGAGGTGGGGGGGAGGGTTTAGGGAGGGAAAAAGAGTCGGTATTTAAAATACAAAGCGCTTATTTTCAAGTTAAATCCTCTGCTTGGGTTCTTCGCTGAGGCTGGGCGGCAAACTTTGCCAAGGGGAGGTGTTTCTCAGCCCCGCGGGACATACTTGGGATGATTGACTCGTTTTTCACGCTTGGAGAACGGGGAGGTTTGGGTCCGGCGGGGCTGATGTGCCCCATCCTGGGCTGGAGCCGGGGGAATTGGGGAATTGGGGAGCTTTCTGTGAACTTCAGCGTTGCAGAAATGGGTCTGCTTGGTGTCTCTCCGAAAGCTGGTGGAACTGTGGCTCTGCCCTGTCCCTTTTAGCGGCCACCTTTTGGGGATGTGGAGGGGGAAAAAAGCTGAGTTTCCCAAGGGGCTGGCAGCGGGTGACACAAACCATTCTGTTCTGCTGAGCTGCCAGCTCCCTGTCTTGCAATGAAAGCCTTTCCAGCCTGTTGCTGGTTTTTCTTTCCTTGGCACGATGCTCTTTGCGCGGGATACAGGAGGCTGCTCTTTAGAAATCCTCAACCTCCCCCTCCCCAAAAAAACCCTGCCTTCAGCCTGGCCTGGGCAAGGATTCAAGCTGGTGCAGCTCCGTTGACTTTGGGAGCGTTTTGTCACGGGCTCTCTGTACACAGCAGGACAATAAGTATTACGTGTCCCAGGTCTACGTGGGCTCCTAAATCCCTCCTTGAAGTAAATCTGCAGGGTGCCTGTGAAGTCAGTGGAGTTGACGTGGCTGGTTTTTTTTGGGGGGGGGGGTGGTGCAGACGCCAGTGGTTGAATTGGGTGGGTGCAGCTTGGATGGTTTGACATGGAAGATGGTGAGTAATGGGATGGGATGTCGCAGGGAAGCTGGGACAAACACACGCCAGTGGTTGAATTGGGTGGGTGCAGCTTGGATGGTTTGACATGGAAGATGGTGAGTAATGGGATGGGATGTCGCGGGGAGGCTGGTGTGTCCCTGGCTGCTGGGACAAACGCTCTCTGTTTGCCTACAGCCTTGTGTTTCGGTGCTGCCCCTGTTTGCAGCTTCGGGGAGGGGGGTGGGAACTCAGTTTTAAGTGTCTTTAATTGCTCAGGAATTCGTGTTTTCCTTCCCGGGCTGTCTCTGGCACTTGATAGTGTGAGCTCATGCTGGAAGCTCGCAGGTAACCTCATGGAGAACTTGATTTCTGACCCCCTCTTCTCACGATTTTCCGAGGAGCTTTAGCCCTCTGGCTTGGGTCTCACAGCCAAAATCCTGCCCAGGAGTTGGGAAGCTCCCAGTTTAAGCCCTTGAGCCCTGGGCTCCCTTCCTTTTCAGCTGGTCATCGCTCTGCGCTGTATTGACCATGAATATCCAGAGAAGCCCTTCCTTTGGGGTGTCACCGTGGGATGCTCAGCACTGCCCGAGGATGCTGGGGTGGCTGGTCCCTGCTCAGGGGATGGGTGCTGAGCCACCCGTGTGGGATGGTGGCCACCAGCCCCCTCACTCCTTGTGCAGCTGCCCTGCACTAACCTTGCCTGTGGCTGAAAGGGGCCCTTCCTCCTGCCCTTTTGCTGTGAGATACCACCAAACCTGTAAAATCAGTTTTTTCTGACTGAGCCCCAGGCTTAGTAAAATTGTCTGGGGGAGAAGGTCAAGGTTTATCAGAACAGGCTGGGGAAAAACCCAGATTCCTCTAAAAGGACCTGTTAACACTTAGGGAGAATCCTGTAGGCTGTGGTTGAGCTGATCAAATGAAAGTTTATTGAGCCGTACATCTGTTTAATTGTATTTTTTTTTTGCCAAGATTTAACCCTCTTACTTAGAGAAGACCAAAAGGCCTCACTTAAATACCCATTTGCACACTTGATTTTGTCCAGATGCACAACATCCTCCTTTTCAGGATTATTGAAAATTAGTGTTGAGGCTCTGGTCTTACTGGAAAAGACTTAATGAAGTGGCTTCTCCTGGGGGCTGCGGCACTCTTTTTATTTTGAGAGGCTTGAACTCCTGCCACAAATGATGCTGTTGCTGGCAGGTGTCTCTCGAGCTCTCACAGCTGAGGAAGAGTTTGCT